TTTCCTGATCAGCGAGAGGGCGTGAACTATGAATCTTCAAACACACGCAACTTCAAAAATCACGTACCCTCCCTTCAAAAAACGAGAAGAGCGTCGGGTGCAGACCATACACCACAAGTGACGACGGCCTCCAAGTAAATCTGGTTAGTAGTGGTTCATAGTGATAGCTGATTTTGGTAAATGATAGTTGTAATTAGTGACAACTGATAGAATACAACTGCAACAGGCTAATCATTTCATTGGCAGAAAACATTTACATTTTGTGGAGGCCGTCGTCACTTGTGGTGTATGGTCTGCACCCGACGCTCTTCTCGTTTTTTGAAAGGGAGGGTAGGTCTGGAATCTACGTTGTTTCTACCTATGTAAATCTCTTTCACAATACTGCAAAGTTCATCTCGTAGAGAATCTCCTTTCTCTTCTGTTAGAAGCCACTCATGTCAGAGGTCGCGACTTTTCTCGAATGTGTCGTGCGCGAAGTATGAACGAGATTTGAAGGCAGAATTTACGATGAAAAGTTAGCTCATTGGAAATAAGGGTAGAGGTGGTCAGTGGAGCAGGGATGAAGAAGAAACCATTTGAAACGGCCCGAAACCCGAGAAATGGGACCCCTTCCTTGCCCGTTGATTTGCGCATTGATGCGACTCTCATCGCTGTGCCCTCTTCAACACTACGCTCTCTCTGCTATCTAATCACTCGCCACGTAGAAGGCGAGTGATTAGATAGTCGGTGGGCGTACCCCGCCAACCGCGCCAAGAGTGAGCCATGCTAGATCGCCGAGGTCAAATCTTTCGCTGCCAATTGCGCGTCGGTCAGCACCCTCAGGAGGTCCGCCTGTCTCCCAACTATGCAATTTTCCCTTCTTTGACCTTCGTTCTTATCGTGAATTCCTCCTTAAAAGCTCGAACTATGTGCCACCCGGCTGTGTTTCTCGTGCACATGCGAGTTTCCAATATTCCAGTGGCAATAACTTCCTTCAAATTTGTTAGCGTGCAAATCTTGAAATTGTCAAAAACCACGAGATATGAAGGAGAATTCCACAATGGGGTCGAAAAAGGGGAAGACCTACCTAGCGGAAAAGACAGGCGGATCCCCCAATGGTACAAACCTACACGCAATTTGCAGCGAAGGACAAGGACGGCGATCTAGCATGGCCGTCCCCGCGCTACTCGCGAAACGGCACGCATACAGACTGGCTGACCACTCACCGCAGGTCTCTAGCCATTTGGGAGAGAGAGCTTCGCGTTAAAGAGGGCAGTATAAATGAGATTCGCCCAACGCGCAAATTTACGGCAAAATAGGGTCCCATTCTTTGGGTTTCCGGCCGTTTCTCAAGCGTCTTTTCTATCTTTGCACCCCTATCCACCGCTACCTGATTTTTGAAGGGTTACCTTACCTCACCTCATCATGACCTCCGCCTCTAGGCTTCCTAACAAGCAGTGATCATACCACGAACGAGCGTCGGGCTTTCAGTGGTCGTAACTTTATTCAGAGTTGTTATCGCGCAAATCTGTGACTGTTTCCAAATCTAAGGCACTTAGAGTTTCCTAGTGCTAAACTTACTTAAAACGTTATTGTGTCAAAAATAATCCCGTCTGCTCGCCTGGCCCGTTCTAGCCTTCTGAATGTCTTCACTTTCCCTGATTTTTTTTCTATAAACAGTGAGTATCATGTAAAACCAAGGAATAAATGAGTATTATTTTTCTGTAGAAAACCTGCACAATCGAAAACATCACGTCTGTCGATACTTGCGTTTGATTTTTGAGAACTCAATTATAATATTTTCCATCTACATATGTTTCATCGCACTTTCTGGGACGGTCTCCTTGTTTATGTGAAATCAAATCTTAAGTGCTTGGCGCTAAACACCTTCTAAACTACGAGATGCGCCACGCACTCCACGATAAGACGGATTTGAGTCACTCTCACTCCATTGGTAATTTCTAATTACTCGCCGGGGGTGTTGTGAAGGTGAGCCTACAACTGCCATACATTTTTTCAAACGGTATTTACCCAGCAAGCCACCCCCCCCCCCTGTTCATACAAACATCCTCGTTCAACTTGGCTAAACAGGCGATTGACCCCATTCGCTAAGGCGAGTTAGTGTGTGCTCATCGCCATCTATGGGGGGCACTGAAGGGGCAGAGGGGCGGGGCACTGAAGGGACGATTCTTGAAGCTACAAACAAGTGGAGAAAGGAATGCTGAGTTTCGAGCTACGTCAACGGTAGAAGATCATGGGCTCTGCTCGCTGGTCACGGAATCAAACATCAGATGCCCTGACTTCATGCGATATATGCTGATCATTGGAAGGGAGCGTACGGCCACGAGACATCAGGCGAACGACGGAAAGACCACCGGCCTAAGACTGGACATTTTCATTGAAGCTACGCTAAAGATATGAGCACCCATCAGCCGACAGAGTCCTGTTCACAGTAAGTGGGACATGGCGAGAGCAAAATTGAACTAGTAATTTCTCTGGACGAATTAAATAATTCTCTTATCCCGTTCCAGTAGAACCGAGAGTCCGGGAAAAAGGGTAAAGGTATGCATAGGATTGTGACATCATAACTGGGAATCCCGTCAAGAATCCTTCACGAAACTCATAATTCACTTCAAAAAAAGGCCAATGAACCAGGAAAAATGTGTGCAGGTGTCGGCGAGGAAGGAAAGGGCATGTACAATTGATGGATGGAGCGCGTGTGATTTCCCGAGATCCCGAAAAAAAAGTTGATAGAGGCTGGCGAAGGAAGGTCAAGTGATAATGATGGGCGGAGTGTCCAGTAGAGTGGGCGTAACTAGAACCTCCCGCTCTAGTACAATGACGAACGCTGACATAGTACATATTATATTTCCGTTGGAACATTTTCTTATGTGGTTACTAGTGGCCCTGGCCAAATAGCGCTCGCGCGGAGAATGAATATTATGCAGGAGGCCAAGAAAGTGCTTGGCCCATAGCTCACAATAATAAAATTTTCATCGCACAGGGTGCCGCCGTTGATGAATTTTACGGCAAAATATTCCTTAGATGTCCCCCATAAGCAGAAGCAGGCCTCCTTCACTGCCTCACCGTCTTCAGAATATGACGTCATCTGCCATCGTCGTCGAGTACGAAGGAGGTTTACCGTAACTGCTCCACTCTGCGACTGCTGGATAATTTTTCAGTCGGGATATTGATGGACAGCTTCGAAAGACTGTAGCTCTGACTATGCGAGTGCCCTCACGACCAGCTTTAGGCTGATGTCAGACTTCGCGAATCGCGCGATTCGCAAAGTCTGACATTGGCCTTACAGATATCGTGTTGATGGTCAAGTATCGATAGAAGACATCCTTGAGCTCCAACCGTGCAATATGTTTCCGTGGAGAATTCATCTGAAATGTCCAGTTCATAAGGCCGTTGTGAAGTTTTTTGAGAGATTGCGTGTCTTCAATTGCGATCTGGGAGCATTTGGCTTGACTCCAGCAAAATGTAGTTGATTCCGTTTTTAAATGAAAGAAGAATAACTCCTCTTTCTCGAGCTCTGATGCCCTCGTGAGCCTGAGGAAATTGCGACAGCCAATTTCCAAATTGAGTCACCTCCACTTTCAAACAGTGTCGAGTCGCTGGTACATCGTTCGAACTGCTGCCACACAGCTCGATTCGCTGACGCACCGCTCGTATCCCGCGATTCGCTAGCGAATGGCCAGATTCGCGGAGTCTAACACCGACCTTAGCGACTCCAATGTCAATCAGTCACCATGAACGGATTATTGAACAGATTGATCAGCAAAAATCCGATTCATTTATGTATTCATTCACTGGAAACACTCTCAAATCCAAATACTCAAAGCAGATGACATCAAACAAGTGGAAAACCGAACATTAGGCCGATGTCAGACTTTGCGAATCGCGCGATTCGCTAGCGTCTGCGGTCGCGTCGCGGCCAGTGAATCACTCAATTGGCTGGTACCGCAACGCGACCGCGGACGCTAGCGAATCGCGCGAATCGCTAGTAGCGAATCGCGCGATTCGCAAAGTCTGACATCGGCCTTAAATCTGTCATTCATCGTCATTGCACCCTTCTTCCAATTAATGACTGTGATATCATGTCACACGAATGATCTTGTGCACCCTAGCGCAGTACCATTCGGGTGTCGACCCAGTCAAGAGTTTACATATCAGTCAGTCACTATTTCACGCAATCCCTACACAACTAGCTCCCCTTTCCATCCGTTTCCCCCACCTTCTTTTCAAATTACATACAGCGTCAGGACCTATCTAAATCGATATCAGACTAATTCGCAAAGTCTGATGTCGGTCTAAATATTGCCTTAGTGATTTATATGCAGACTAGCTGTATTAAT